GCCATGGTTGAAGGAAGGCAAGATGAACCATCCTCTCTTTCTCTGTTTTCTATACTTCTCACCAGATTGAAATCCTAAAGACTTGAGAGGTGTGTCCAGTTGTGGCAAAAGCCTGACTGTTCAATCGTCCTCCATCCATTCCTTTTTCCTTCTTCTCTCATCTACTTCCTCTCCCCCTCCACCTCCCGTCCCCTTCCTTTCCCCTCCCATTGCAATCCCCCTCCTCCCTCCTCTCCCTCCCCCCCTCCCCCTTCTCCCTTCCCTCTCCCTCCCCTTCCCCTCCCCTCCCCCTCCATTTCCCCCTCCCCTCCCCCTTCCCCTCCCCTTCCCCTCCCCTTCCCCCTCCCTCCCCCTCCCTTCCCCCCCCCCTCCCCTCCCCTCCCCCTTCCCCTCTCCACATCTGACACACCACACACATCACACAGAACATTTACATCACACAGAACACACACCTCAGATCACACATAGTACACATGCCTCTTACACCTGACAAACCGCACACATCACACCACACACCACACACATCTCACACATCTTGCCTATTTCATATTGCACACATCAAACAGAATACATACATTGCCCAGAAAACATACACACACACAGTACACACACCTCATGCACCAGACAAATCACACACATTACACACCACACACATCACATACGCCATGCACATCACACACATATTGCCCATCTCACATCGCCCTTACATATACCTTTTCTTTTTATATCTTTCTCTCTTTCTATTTTTCCTGTCTTTTATATCTTTCTCATCACACACTACACACATCTCACAGAACTCACGCATCTCTCTCATCTGTCTCCTTTCTCTTATCTCTTTCTCCTTCTTTCTGTCTCTTCTCTTTCCTCTGATTTCCATCTTCTCTTTCCCCTTCTCTATTCCCTTTTTCGTTTCTCCTTCTCTTTTGGCCTTCTCTTTTGTTTTTTCTTTCTCTTTCTGTTGCTCTTTTCTATTTCTCTGTCTCCTTTTCTATCTTTCTTTCTATCTTTCTTTTTCTATCTTTCTTTCTTTCTTTCTTTCTCCTTTCTTCTTTATCTTTCTTTCTTTCTTCCTTTCTATCTTTCTATCTATCTTTCTTTCTATCTATCTTTCTTTCTATCTATCTTTCCTTCCTTCCTTTCTCCTTCCTCCTTTTCCTCTTCCCTCCCCTTTCCCCTTTCCCTTCCCTCCCCTTCCCCCTTCCCTTTCCCTTTCCCCCCCTTCCCTGTCCCTTTCCCCTCCCTTCCCCTCCCTCCCCTCCCCTCCTCTTCCCCCTCCCCTTCTGGTTTCCCCTCCTTCTTCCTTCTCTCCTCTCCCCTTCCCTCCTCTTTCCCTTTCCCTTTCCCACAGCATCCTCCTGCCACTCTTCAGCTGCCCACTTGCAGAGTTCAAGTTATTTATTCTTCTTCAAAGAAGACTGAGACTCTCAGTAGACATGCCTTATACAGGAAGTCACAGCCTTCACTTTTCAACTATTGCAAAAGAAATTTACAAGCAGCTGAAAAGGAAGTGTCCAAAAAGAAAAAAACAAAGCAGAGTATTTTGGCATCAAGAACTGACGTGGTGTCCCTTTAAGTCAAAAGGGGAGTAACCCATGCACACAAGCAGACCTTCCTTCTGAAACCGCGGTTGGTGGTTGAAGCATGGAGGAATAGGGGTGTTGTTTTAGTGACTTGTGTTGGGAAAAGCATTCATTTCCGTTGTACAATGTACAGTGACAATAAAGCTATTCAATCTTTCTAAATACTTTAAGCATTCTATGATTATGGGACAAGTAGGTGAAAGATAGAATTGGTGATGCCTAGCTTGACAACAGTCCATGTGAACAAGATCGCGATTGGTAGAAATGAGAGACAGGGCCTTCTCAACAGTGACTCCCCATCTGTGGAATTCCCTCCCCAATGACATAAGACTGGCCACCTCCCTCCTGTCCTTTAGAAGGAAACTCAAGACTTGGCTGTGGGACCTTGCATTTGACCATTGAACAGCAGCTTGTATGAAGAAGGCATAAGCAATTTTGAAGTGACAATGAATTGACCTGGGCCCGGATTTTAATTGGCGTGTTTTAACAACTGTTTAATGTTTTGTTTTAGTGAATTTGTTGATTGTTCTTATCATTATGCTGGCACCGAATGGTGTTTGCTGTGAGGCCGCCCTGAGTTCCCCCCTTGGAGGTACAAGTATATGAAATAAAATAAATAAATAAATATTTGTACTGGTGCATTAACTTTTCTTGGATATTGCAGAAGAAAGTTTCAAGTACTTTCTCCTGCAAAATCCTCAGCCTCTGTGTACAACAATTTGGAGGTTTGCAGTCACAATGGTATCTGCTTATTTAAGTGTGTTTTGACTGCCCTTGAACATATAGGGACAAAGCACCACTCTTCAATTGGTTGAGGCTGTTCTTTTGTGCCCAGGTGTTGAAGTGCACCAAGAACATAATCAGCGGTAGTTAGCCTATCTTCAACTGGTGGCTGGGAAATTGGGGTTTTGCATGCAAATCCTATTCTATTGCAGAGGGAAGCAAGAAGGATGCAAATTTCTCCTCTCTCGCCTTAACTGACTCTTAAGTATGTCATGGGAGAATTACATTCCGCCAAATTGTTATGAGCCTGACCTTTGTGTGCTGAAATTCTGCAGGAGCTCATAATATGGTTAGAATGTAAAACATTCAACTTCATGAGAACTTTATTTAAGAGCCATCTTCCAGTCCCTGCAGTTGAGAACTTGATCTCTTAGAAAACAATGACCTAACTGAATAAAGTGTAGGCAGAGGTTTCTTCATTTGAGTCTCTTCCTCCACTGAAACATCTCATGTAGCCCAGGCTAGTGATGTAACTGTGGATGACAAACTAAAACTACAGAATGATCCAATCTCTTGTTAGTCAATTGCTGCCTAGTACATTAGTCATGAGCAGTGAAATCTCTTGGGAAAATCCTAAGGAGATGTCAGGTTTCATTTTGACACCTAAAAGCAAAATGATACATGGGTTTTATCAGTATTTTTTTTTAAAAAAAAAACATGGATTTATTAGGCACAATCTGTTGTATAATATTTCATTATCAAAGAACATTATCAGCTGCGGAGGTACAATAACAAACTGATCCAGGGCCTTCCCAATTTATAGCGAAGACTGGAGTATGTTCTCTTTGTTACAGGTGTTGTGTGTCAAACCGAAGCCTGAATCCTATTGCTAGCCCTGACTAGTGTTGTTGTTGTTCATTCATTCAGTCGCTTCTGACTCTTCGTGACCACATGGACCAACCCACGCCAGAGCTCCCTGTCAATCGTCACCACCCCTAGCTCCTTCAAGGTCAATCCAGTCACTTCAAGGATACGATCCATCCATCTTGCCCTTGGTCGGCCCCTCCTCCTTTTTCCTTCCATTTTCCTGTCTTCTCATGATGTGGCCAAAATACTTCATCTTGGCCTCTACTATCCTTTCCTCCAATGAGCAGTCGGGCTTTATTTCCTGAAGTATGGACTGGTTGGATCTTCTCATGGCCCAAGGCACTCTCAGAACTATCCTCTAACATCACAGTTCAAAAGCATCTATCTTCCTTTGCCCAGCCTTCCCTAAGGTCCAGCTCTCACATCCGTAGGCTACTATGGGGAGTACCATTGCTTTAACTATGAGGATCTTCATTGCCAGTGTGATGTCTCTACTCTTTACTATTTTATCGAGATTGGTCATTGTTGTCCTCCCAAGGAGTAAGCGTCTCCTGATTTCCTGGCTGCAGTCTGCATTTGCAGTAATCTTTGCACCTAGAAATACAAAGTCTGTCACCGCCTCCACATTTTCTCCCTCTCTTTGCCAGTTATCAATCAGTCTGGTTGCCATAATCTTGGTATTTTTATATATATATTTAACTGCAACCCAGCTTTTGCACTTCCTTCTTTCACCTTGATTAGAAGGCTCCCCAGCTCCTCCTTGCTTTCGGACATCAAAGTGGTATCATCTGCATACCTAAGGTTGTTAATGTTTCTTCCAGCAATTTTTACCCCAGCCTTGCATTGATCAAGCCCCGCACATCCCATGATGTGCTCCAATTTGAATAGGTTGGGTAAGAGTATACAATCCTGCCGAACGCCTTTCCCAATCTTGAACCAGTCTGTTGTTCCATGGTCAGTTCTTACTGTTGCTCCTTGGTCCTTATACAGACCCATTGAATAAATTGGCTCTATGTGTGCGATGACTCAGTGTTCAACAACAGGTTCAATGGCAGTGGTTCTCAACCTGTGGTTCTCAACCTAACAGCTGGTAAACTGGCTGGGATTTCTGGGAGTTGTAGGCCAAAACACCTAGGGACCCACAGGTTGAGAACCACTGTTCAATGGGCTTACTCTAGTTGGGGTTTGACAATAGGATTCAGGCCTGTTTGTGCAACATATAATAATTCAACAAATTCTGCTTTCAAATCCTACAAAGAATAAACTCCCTCTTCATATAAATACATATGTGCAGTATATATATTTACAATATGTAGATTGTATTATAATTTATTAATTACGAATGCTATGTTTAAAGGCCCACATCAAGTTCACCATCTTTATTATTTACTAATACCCTTGAGTGTGCACTTAGGTGAGTCACAACAGCTTCCAGTCCCTTCAAACAACACTGTATTTTTACATTACTCTCTTCCCCTTTACCAATAGCCCTGTGAGGTAGGTTAGGCTGAAAAATAGTCATCAGTCCCCAAACCCCTCCACCTCCTGAATGTCATAACCAAGCAGGGTCCAGAATATGTCTTCCTGGCAGATTATCCAGTCTCTATTTGCACATCTTCACCAAGTTCCATTCTATATTGCTATAGTGCACTGAGTAACAATGTTGATACGGGTGTCTTCAGCTTTGCCAATTTCTACTTCCCAGTTCACCAGGAATACTTTGCAACAGCAAAGAAAGAGGACAGTTGTTAAGCCGTGATGGAGGATCTCTGAGTCCATAGGTGGTAAGTACTGTTGTGCCTCCTTTTAAAGAGCATCAGAAAAGACAGCATCAAAGTCATGGACTAGCAGCAATATTTATAGCCTTGGGCAGATTTTGTGAGCAACAAGACGTTTAGGAAGACATCTGATCCATTACTGTGGTAGTAATGGCTCGAAGCAGATGGTAAATTGTGCTCTTCAGAATCTTGGAATGGAAACCGTTGTTTCCTCAAAGGAGAAAAGGTCTGTGCATAGGTCAGTCAGTGTTTTGTGGCTTACAGCAACCTTGTCTCTTCCTCCAGCTGCATTTGCACATTGTTCGCCTCGAGGGGAGTCGACTTCATTTAAAAGTCTGAGCAAAAGTGAGTTTATTCAGTCAAACTCTTCCTTTGTTTGAGGTAAGAAAAGAGCCCACACTGTTGCCTTTACAGTGAGGTTCTTCTAGGCAGCATCTGTCGCCACGCCGTTTCAGCAAAAGTACAGTCCCTTCACTGAAAACGTCTGTGCTTCCATCATGCCTTCTCAGGAGGAAGGATCTTCTACTATAGCATCAATCATTTGCAGGAGATCATGAAATGTGGGGCGGCCCTCTGGTTTCTAGAAATGAACAAAATGGGTTAACAGTTGTTTGGCCAAAGTTTTAAAAGGAACAAAAAAACGAATGGAGTAAGTAAAGGATTTCTTCCCAGTAACTTGGGTTACTGCTGAAAATATTATAAATAATGGAGGGTGGGATGAAAAACAACAGTTTTCACTTTAAACATTTGATTCAACTTGCGCAGCAGTTAGGACTTTTGTATTATGTGTAGTATAACATGAAGCCACCATATTTGCTAATATATCTTGTGATGGATTGGAATTTGTGAAAATAACTCAATTCAGCTGCTTCTCTTTCTAGTCTTCCTTTGTAATTTCTTTGTGACCTCCAAACCCACAAAAAACAGTTGCAGGACATGTTCTAGAGGCATTCTCTCCTGAATCGCCTCTAGAACATGGCCATATAGCCCGAAAAAACCTACAACAACCCAGTGATTCCGGCCATGAAAACCTTCGATAATACAGTTGCAGAACATTTTGCCCTTTCTGATCAAGGAAACAACAAACTAGAACCACAATTTCCAATCCATTCGCCCCCAGTGGTGCAATGGGTTAAAGCCTCATGCCAGCAGGACTGCTAACCAAAATGTCGGTGGTTTGAATCTGGGGAGCGGGGTTAGCTCCCATCTGTCAGCTCCAACTTCTCATGCCGGGGCATGAGAGAAGCATCCCACAGGATGGTAAAACATCCTGGCATCCCCTGGGCAACATCCTTGCAGACGGCCAATTCTCTCACACCAGAAGCGACTTGCAGTTTCTCAAGTCGCTCCTGACACACACAAAAAGCAGATGTATGAACAAATACAATGGCTTCATGGCACTCTACATATATAACAGCCCTCACTACTGCAAATTTAATAAAAGGAACCCAAGGAAACTGGTTTTGGTAAGCAAATATATTGCTTTCCCAGATCAAGAATAACTGACCACTGTAAAGATCTGTGTATCACATTGCCCAGTCTTTTGAAAATGTTTCTGGATGTTTTATTCCATGTTATCCCACTCTCAGAACTGAATCAATATACTTTATATCTAAGGCCTTAATACCACTTGTTACTGCATCTGAAAAGGTGAGTTTAAATCTACGAAATTCATGCTAAAATAAAAAAGAGGATGCCATGTTTCCTTTTTGTTCCCCTCATTTCCTCCTTTTTATGCTACAAGAGGTTATCACAACTATTTATTTGAAATCTACTTTGATTCTACAGGTTCTCTGATATTAACAGCAATAACAATAACAATAGACTTTATTTATATTTGGCTCTATCTCCACAAGGGGACTCAGAGCGGATTACAGTATGCACATATATAGACAAATATTCAATGCCATTTATACGTTAACAACAATGACATACAATACACAAATAAAGGCAAAAGCTTCCCCTTCCATCTCCGGCATCTGCTGGTGATGGTCAGCTCTTGCCATGGGGAGCTGCTCTTCTCCCATTTTTCCATGTCAAGGAGCCTGTTATCCATAGACCCTCCTGGTTGTGTTTGCCAGCTTGGTTGAATGGGTACCCTTCCTGCTGAGGTGGTATCTACTGATCTACTTACATTGCATGTTTTCAAACTGCTAGGTTGGCGGAAGCTAGGGCTAACAGAAGGAGCTCACCACAACTTGCAGCTTCAAAATGCTAACCTTCCAGTCAGCAAGTTTTCTGCAGCTAGTGGTTTAACCCACACAAACAAAACATTTCATCCATCTGTCATTTTCGATGGTACTTCTGTTACCCTGATTTTATCAGAGGGGTTAACTCCTTTTTACAATGCTAGAACTGCACCCACATCCCCTTTTGAATCTCAACTAGATTTCTCATATCCTTCTATACATTTTGTTCCTGACCCAACATGGCATGGTTATCTGTCTCCCCATATTCTGCAACAATATTTTCCTACACTGCTCCTATGCTTCAGCCATTGAATGGCATCCTTAACTGTTAAAACAAATTTATATTAAGGTATCCTTACAAAAGTGTGCTACATGCTGGTAAATCACCCCCATACAGAAATCGCTAATTACCAATCTAGCTTTCACAGTTACACTGAAATTTCGGAAGCAATAAATGGAGATGTTCAATGTGAGATATAGTGACATACCTCATGCCAGCACACCATCATAACGTCATAAATACTTGTAGAAGCCAACTTTGGCCGAAACAGGCGGTATCCTTTGCTAATCATAGTCACCACTTCATAGTTGGTGTTTGTCTCAAAAGGCATTTTGCCCTCAGTAAACACTTCCCACATAAGAACCCCTAGAAAAGGAAGAGAAGTGAATTAGAGAGATTAGCATGCAGATGCTCTAAACCTGTGGTTCTCAACTTGTGGGTCCCCAGATATTTTGACCTTCAACTCGCAAAAATCCTAACTGGCTGGGATTTCTGGGAGTTGTAGGCCAAAACAGGTTGAGAACCACTGGTCTAAACTAAAGTCTACAATATTTAGATTCTGTAATGGCACTAAATTAATCCTAATAAGTTTCTAGTTTCCAGAATCCTCTATTTTGGGAACTTGTTACCAGAGTGATGTATACCACTGGAAGATTCAATCACTGCTTCTACGTGGATTAAAAACTTCTCAAATATCTTCTGCAGTTAGTCAAGCATTTTGGAAGAAGTAGAGTTGCATAAGGATGTTCTCAGTCTCCCCGAATGGCAACCAGTCTCTGGCAATGAAGTAAAGTTGCTTATTGCCTTCTCACCCAGTGTTTTAAGCTTTTTAATCCTTGCTACTGGCCCTGTCCAATGTGATTTATTTTCTGTGTTTAAATTATTGTGATTTTACATTGTTTGATGTGCTTATTTATATTGTTTCTTGTATTTTTTTATTTTATTGTTGTTGTATGTTTCCAATCTTCCCTTTTTGGGCAAAGTCATGGAAAGCGTGGTGGCCTCACAACTCCAGGTATTCTTGAGAGACACGGATTATCTGGATCCGGCGCAGTCTGGTTTCAGACCGGGGCATGGTACTGAGACGGTCTTGGTCGCCTTAGTGGATGATCTCCGCCGGGAGCTAGACAGGGGGAGTGTGTCCCTGTTGGTGCTCTTGGATCTCTCAGCGGCCTTCGATACCGTCGACCACGGTATTCTTCTGGGACGCCTTGCAGAGATGGGCCTTGGGGGCACCGCTTTGCGGTGGCTCCAATCATTTCTGGAGGGACGTACCCAGAAGGTGTTATTGGGGGACTCCTGTTCAACACCACAGCCGTTGACCTGCGGTGTTCCTCAGGGTTCCATACTGTCCCCCATGCTGTTTAACATCTACATGAAGCCGCTGGGTGAGATCATCCGGAGTTTCGGGGTGCGGTGTCATCTGTACGCAGATGACGTCCAACTCTGTCACTCCTTTCCACCTGCTACTAAGGAGGCTGTCGAAGTCCTGAACCGGTGCCTGGCCGCTGTAACGGTCTGGATGAGGGCGAACAAACTGAAATTAAATCCAGACAAGACAGAGGTACTCCTGGTCAGTCGCAGGGCCGAGCAGGGTATAGGGTTACAGCCTGTGCTGGACGGGGTCGCACTCCCCTTGAAGGCACAGGTTCGCAGCTTGGGTGTGACCCTGGACTCATCGTTGAGCCTGGATCCCCAGGTTTCAGCGGTGACCAGGGGAGCATTTGCACAGCTCCGGCTCGTGCGCCAGCTGCGCCCGTATCTCGGGAAGTCTGACTTGGCCACGGTGGTACACGCTCTGGTCACATCCCGGCTTGACTACTGCAACGCTCTCTACGTGGGGCTGCCCTTGAAGACGGCCCGGAAGCTCCAGCTAGTCCAGCGCGCGGCAGCCATGTTACTAACAGGAGCGGGACGCAGGGAGCACACAACGCCCTTGTTGTCCCAGCTCCACTGGCTGCCGATCTGCTACCGGGCCCAATTTAAGGTGCTGGTGCTATCCTACAAAGCCCTAAACGGTTCCGGCCCAAAATACCTTGCAAACCGCATCTCGGCCTATGAGCCCACGAGGACCTTGAGATCATCTGGGGAGGCCCTTCTCTCGGTCCCGCCTGCCTCGCAGGCACGCCTGGCGGGGACGAGAGAGCGAGCCTTCTCGGTGGTGGCCCCCCGGCTATGGAACTCCCTCCCTGCTGAAATCAGACAGGCACCTTCCCTCATGGCCTTTCGCAAGGGCCTGAAAACTTGGCTCTTCGAAAAGGCCTTTAGCTAGTGCTATGTTTCCTTGGAATGATCACCGGAATGGACTATGACGATGAGATTGACTATGACCCTAATCTAGACGAAGCGGATTTTTATATGTGTGTGATTGTCTTGTTCCATTGTAAATTGTTGTTTTTTCTATGTTTTGTACACCGCCACGAGTCGCCTCCGGGCTGAGAGTGGCGGTTAACAAGTGCAAGTAATAAATAATAATAATAATATTGTATGTTGTTTACTTGCATTGCTGTATTGTTGGGCTTGGCCTCATGTAAGCCATCCTGAGTCCCCTTGGGGAGATGGTGGCAAGGTATAAATAAAGATTATTATTATTATTATTATTATTATTATTATTATTTATTTATTTATTTGAAACACCAAAAGATGAGTCCACAGCAGACACTCTGCTAGCTGTTGTATTGGATCACACGTCGGACACTTCCCAAGTGTCTAGGAGTGTGTCATGTATCGGCGAATAATGCGTGCAGATCCCAGTAAGGTGGCCTTTTGCAGCTGGCAGATGGTAATCTTGTCAGCACTGATTGTATTTAAGTACAGGCCAAGGTCTTTAGGCACTGCACCCAGTGTGCCAATCACCACTGGGACCACCTTTACTGGCTTGTGCCACAGTCTTTGCAGTTCGATCTTTAAATCTTCATATCATGTCATCTTTTCCAATTGTTTCTCTTCAATCCTGCTGTCACCTGGGATTGCAACATCGACAATCCATACTTTGTTTTTTTAACACGATCATGAGGTCAGGAGTGTTGTGCTCCAAAACTCTGTCTGTCTGAATCCGGAAGTCCCAGAGTAGCTTGACGTGTTCATTCTCTGTAACTTTTTCCGGCTTATGATTCCACCAGTTCTTTGTCGCAAACAAATGGTATTTGTGGTACAAGTTCCAATGGATCATCTGAGCAACGGTGTTATGCCTCTGCTTGTACTCTGTCTGCGTGATCTTCTTGCAGCAGCTGAGGACATGATCTATTCTTTCATCTGCTTCCTTGCAGAGTCTACATTTCGGATCTGTTGTCGACTTGGGGTGATAGGGAGGAATACAAATAAAGTTAATAATAATAATAATAATAATAATATTGATTCGTGTTTGGGCGGTGTGTTTGGTGGTTAAACAGACAAGAGTTCTTTCTCCTGCACTGGACATTCCACAGATATATAAACCTCACTTGCTTAGTTTCCAAAAGACTTCACAACCTCTGAGGATGCCTGTGGGTGAAACACCAGGAAAGAATGCTTCTGGAACATGGCCATACAGCCCAGAAACCCCACAGCAACACAGTGATTCTGGCCATGAAAGCCTTCAACAACACATTCCCATTTTCTCTTGCATAACTGATGTGTATTAAATCATGGGAATTGCATACAGGAGTCCTACTTCTGTGTATCACACCAGAGATTACTCATGGGAATGAGTGAAAATAGTAGTCAATTGCTTCCTTAGCAAAAGGGAACAGGTTCCTGTCACTTACTAGCATCTTCCCAGTAAGTGAGGATGGCACAGGGGTTAATTGGGTAGCACTGTATTCATTGGGTAACACTGTAAGCACAATGCTTACACATATGTATCTCCCATACACAGTTGCAGTCATGTGAAGACTTCTAAGACCATTTTGGTGTTAATATCAGAACATCAAGGCCTCTCAAAGAAGCATATGGTTTTTGGAATTTGGGATTTCAAGTTCCACTTAAATAATAAATAAATGACAATTGGAAATCAGTCTGCGTTTTGTTACAAAGAATTGACTGATTTCAGAGCAATTGATCATGCTTTAATTCCCATTAAAGAAAGATACAGTTTTGTTTCATTAAATCTTAAATAATTAACTGTTTCAGTTCAATTTAAAAATGATGTATTGGTTAATCTGGATGAGTCATGATATTTCCACATTTAAGATGAAAAGAAAATAATGGGAGTGGGGAGCCAACGCCACCTTACCAAAAGACCAGACGTCTGACTTGCTGCTGAATCGACTGTAATTAAAAACCTCTGGGGGACACCATTTCACAGGAAATTTAGCACCCGAAGAGCTTGTGTACTGGTCGTCAAGAACATACCTAAAAAGAAAGAGACTGTGATCCTTCTTGTCTGGAATCAGCATGAGAGAGAAGACACACATAAGATATGTTCACATCACCACCTAGTGGCTAATTGTCAACTTCACAAATCCCACTTGGAACCAGTGTGTGTAAAAAGCAAGGGTAACATCGGGTAGTTGTAGTTTTTTCGGGCTATCCTTTATTCACAGAATATTATGAGCATAGGGTGTGCACCTGATGTGGTTTTCCACAAAGAATCTCCCTTTGATTCCTTTTTTTTCCTTTCCAGGAGGCAAAAGACAGAAACACTGCACATTGCCTTTGATTTGTAGTGTTAGGAGCCCTCAAAGAACCTCTTTGTAAGCACAGTCTTGTAATCATGAATTTGGGGGTCTCTCAGAAAGAAGCAATGTATATGCCGTCCACCCAGACAATATAAAAAATAAAACTGCGACGTGCTTCTCTCTATGCCTGAGCGAACTGCAGGTGTCTATATTGAGAAGCTTGAGATACTCAGCAACTGAGACTATTACTGGTTTAAACATCAAAAGTGGATATTTATTTATTCAAAGTCCTTGAAGGCTTGGCACAGTTCACCAAAGTTGCAAACAAACAGTCAATAGATGAAACTACAAAAATATTATTTCTTTTCTTTAGTTACACAGGTAACCCTTTCTCCAGATGGCAGATAAGATCCTGGAATCTTAACACCCTAACCTTAAGCTGTTGTGGTTTAGAAAAAAGCAGTTTTTTCCCCTATCTATAACTGAAGGTTAGTTCTGGAGACAAAGCAGTGAAGACTCTCTCTCTATAACTATATAACTCAATCTTCTCAATTAAGCTTATCTATAATATCTCAATACAGCTCAATACACAATATACTATCTATATTAACTCAATATAGCTTAATACTTATCTATAATGTATATATACTATCTATAGCTTAATATAGCTTACTCAATTTAGTTTTTGCAATGGTTTTCCCACAGCTAACCGCCTAGCCAAAATGGAGATCTCTTCCCTGGGAGAAAAGGGGGTCCCTGGACCCCCCCAAAAAATCTTTCTAAACCAATAGCTGCAAAGGAGGCCTGCAGACTCTGATACTATTAACCTTTAGGGCTCTTGCAAAGCTGCAGCAGCCCTGGGAGAAAATGCAAGAGGAAGCAACCTCAAGCAACTTTAAAGTAAGGGAAATCAGGCTCCGGGGAGATGGAACAATGCAACCTCAGCCCCCTGAGGTTTCTCAAGTCCTGATGGGCCCCCATTTATGGTGGTCCACCAGGATTAAGCCTGATGGACCACATATGCTTCAGGACCGCTTTAGATACTATTTTAGCTGCCATCTTCCTCCACAGTCATTTATAGAAGTGTTTCAAATATGTCAGTGCAATCTTTGAAAGCAGTTTCATCTCATGAGAACAAAGGTTATATTTTGTCCCTTACCTGGTCATTCCAAAGTCAGACACCTTCACCACTCCTGATTCATTCACTAAGCAGTTCCGAGCAGCCTGAAAAGGGGAATCATCATCATACAGTTAACAATGAGGATGCATTCAACTATGAATGTGTGCACTATTAGTACAGATAGGCAGGGTTATCTTTAACACAGTGTTTCCCAAACTCTGGTATTCCAGGTGTTTTGGACTCAACTCTTCAGAATCCCTGATCATGGCCAAGTCAGCTGAGTGCCCTTCTACACATGATGAAATCCCAGGAGGAACTGACATATTATATCCCAATTCCTCCCAGGATTTAGTTCCCACTTCTAACCCAAACTCCAGCTTTCTAGGGGGAGGCGAGTAGGGTGGCAAAATGGCCTCCCAGATCAACCAGAAGTTGGCCCAGGAGGCCATCCAACCACCTCAGCCCCCCATTTATCCACTAAATCTACCTGAGGGGCCTGGCTGCATGCTCAGGCCACTTCCTCTGGAGCTCCTGGCATGTCTAAATGATGAATTGGGAGGCTGGGAGAGAAGGGTGTGGTGCCATCTTGCTCCTTTGGGCTCCAAGAGCCCAAAGAACCCAGATCATTGTTGGAATTGACCCTGGGATTGTGGTACATAATCTTTGGAGTCAATCCCCACAGGCCCAGCACCTCAACAGAGCCAGACCTTTCAGTAAGGTCTGGAACTGTTGTCATATTAATCTGGAAAGGGCCCTGAGGCTTCTATGAGTCAAAGTCCAAAACACCTGGAGGATTAGTTTGGGAATCATTGCTCCAGTACAATGGAAACGAGGATAGGCAATGTGTAAGCTCCCAAAAGTTAGAGGTCTGCATCTCCCACCTTCTTCATCACTGTGTTTGCTAGATTGTATTTAGAGTTGTAGTAAGGCCACATGTTGCCCATCCCGTACAAATTAATCAGATGCTTCTAGTATTATGCATATTTGGGGTGCTGTTAAGAGCAGCAGATTAAGGGTCAGATATGGTAAACTTTTTCAGAGGATAGGTACTGTAACAAGAATGATAAAGAATGCTATGGAAGCTAACAAATTTAGGTTGTGATCCTATACTTTTCTGTAAGCCCCATTAAGCACAAGGGGGGGGGGGCACTCACTTCTGAGCAAACATATGGAGACCTGCCCTGTTACTGTGGCACAAGGTTCGACTCACCAAAGTCCACACCAGCTACTTTAAGAGGTCATGTAATTGGGCAGGTATATATAAAGTAAGTATAAAAGAGGAGGAAGAGGAGGAGGAGATGATGATGATTATGTTGATGCTATTCTGTTTTTCCTTTATATTTTATGAAGTAAGCTCAAGGAATTAAGCCCATTGACAATGCTTTTTTTGGGCAGCACTGCTGTAAGGTAATATTAAAAATGTCTTGAATTTGTTCTTAATGTATATTTTAATTTTTGATATTTTAATCTACTAGTCAAGGATTTAATTAAACTTTACAAGAAGTTTCAAAAAGGAAAAAGACTGCATACTTTACAACTCTATTGTTATAAAGTTCCGTACATGAGGAATGTTTTCTTTTCTTGATGTCTATTTCTGTGTGGCGTAGCGGTTTGAATGTTGAACTAGGACTCAAAGAGACCAAAGTTTGGGTCCCTCATTCACGTAAACCCTCTGAGTGAGTAATTCATTCTCTCTCAGGCTCAGAGAAAGGCAATGTCAAACCTCCAGTGAAAAAATCTTTTTGAGAAAATTCTGTAACAGGATCACCATAAGTCAGAGTCAACTTGAGGGCACATAATACAATGGCATATTTCTAAATTAATTGACATAGAAGTTTAGCCAGCACTAAAATGATTTCAATAAAATGATTTCAATAAAATACCCACTGGTATTTGAGTTAGGTGAAGAATATGTAGGTGATGGGTGACTTCTGTGTCTTATTTTCATATTAGTTTCTGATTTGAAAATTTCCACTGTTTCCACATTGGAGGTATGGAAAAATATTATATCCCCCTGAATTTAATGTAAGTCACAGTAACCTAATAATTACATTTGTATTCTCCCTTTTGCACAAAGGTTTCAAAGTGTTTTGTAACATTAATTTAAGACAAATATTCAATGAAGATTCTGAATTATATCAGGTTTATCAGGAACTCTTACTAGAGCAGAAATTGTATCTTTCTGTTTATACAGATGGGACAGTTTGGAGTGGGTATAGGGTGGCCACCTGCTAAAGAAATTGGGGTTTCAAAAGTTAAAAAATTGGGCAAGTATAGCTGTTTATGCCTAGTAAATAAATTCTTTAAATTTATCCGGCTTTTGAAAATATTTGCTTTGGAGAGATCTTTTCTTCCATGGCTTCCAGCCACCTGAGCTGCATAACGGAATATTATAAACCACCTAAGAGAAGAATCTGACCCATTCTCGATCCATTATATTTTTTGCTTGAATCACATCAAGTCCATGTGTATTATATTTTAAAATCTACTACCCTATACATTATATTAAAAATTGAACAATTGCAAAAATACACTACTTATATTTACCAGATCTCTGTGAATGAAGCTATTTCTCTCCAGGTATTCCATTCCTTCACATACATCTTGGCACATTGTCAGCAGGCTGTCTTTATTGAAGTGTCCACGTCTTTGCCGAAGATAATTCAAAAGGCAACCGTGCTCCATGAACTCAGTCACGATGTAAATCGGTCTCTGCTGAGTGCAAACCCCATAGAGCTGGACTAACTTTGGATGGGTCAGTTTCCTGAAAGGAATTCAAATACACATATTGCTATACCATATATACTCGAGTATAAGCTGGGTTTTTCAGCCTTTTTTTAAGGCTGAAAAAGCTCCCCTCGGCTTATATTCGAGTCAGTTGTTTATTATTTCACCCTGTTTTATTACTATTTTATTACATTTATTATTTTATTCTATTATTATTATTTTATTACATTTACATAATTTTATTCTATTTAATATTATTATGACATTTATAATTTTACTCTATTATTATTACATTTATTATTTTACTTTATTATTATTATTATTATTACATTTATTGTTTAACTCTATTGCAGTTATTACATTTATTATTTTACTCAATTATTACTATTATATTTCCATTATTTTACTCTATTATGATTATTTTTATTACATTTATTATTTTACTCTTTATTATTAGAGAGTCTTATCTTAAATTACAGTTTTATGTAAATATTCAAAAACATTTAACCTACTGATGCCTCAATTAATGTAATTTTATTGGTATCTATTTTTATTTTGAAATTTACCAGTAGCTGCTGCTGCATTTCCTACCCTCAGCTTATACTTGAGTCAATACATTTCCCAGGTTTTTGTGGTAAAATTAGGTGCCTTAGCTTATATTCGGGTCGGCTTTACTTGAGTATATACAGTAGGTTACAATATTATTATATAGACATACCGTATATACTCGAGTATAAGCTGACTCGAAGATAAGCCGAGGCACCTAATTTTACCACAAAAAACTGGGAAAATTGATTGACTCGAGTATAAGCCGAGGGTGGGAAATGCAGCAGCTATTGGTAAAATTCAAAATAAAAACAGATATAAATAAAATTACATTAATTGAGGCATCAAGAGGTTAAATGTCTTTGAATATTTAAGATAAAACTGCCCAACTCTGATTAAATCATTCTGACCTTCTTCAATGTAAATGTGCTTGTGTATCCTTCCAATAAAAATAAATAGATTAAAATAATAAAGGTAATAATAATAATAATAATAGAGTAATATAATGGAAATGTAATATTAACAATAATAATAGAGTAAAATAATAAATGCAATAATAACAACAATAAAGTAAAATAATAAATGTAATAATAATGCATTTATTATGTATTTATAACAGAGTAAAATAATAAATAACCTTGACTCGAGTATAAGCCGAGGCGGACTTTTTCAGCCTAAAAAAAAAGGTCTGAAAAACTAGGCTTATATTCGAGTATATACAGTAATCCATATCGGCTGATCTGCTTTTACATAGAAAACATTTACAAGATGGAGAAAGTGTTGCAAATAACACTGTGTAAAACGATTTTTGTTCCTGGGTTATAAATGTCGTTTCCTAATTGGTTCTATCATTAACACATGGAAAAAGTTTATTAAACTGCAAAAACTTTGCTTTTGTGGGACATCTTGAAGCATATTTTGCTATAGTTTTTAGTGAATATCTCATCGAGTCTCAAGTCAACCATTCAACATAGTTTGCTGCAGCCACAAAAAAAAGTTTCTGGAGGATAACAACTGCTTTCAAAGTAAGTCCTGCACAATGAAACAATAAATAACACTTTCAAACTAGGAACAGATTTTTTTTCAAATTTTGTTACATAATGTAATTTGTGTACTAGTTTACTAATTAGTAAAGGTAAAGGTTGTCCCCTGACATTAAGTCCAGTCATGTCTGACTCTGGGGTGTGGTGCTCATCTCCATTTCTAAGCTGAAGAGCCAGCGTTGTCCATAGACACCTCCAAGGTCATGTGGCTGGCATGACTGCATGGGGCGCCATTACCTTCCCGCCGGAATGTGATCTGTTCACATTTGCTAATTACTATATCATTTACTAATTTAATAATTATATATCATAATAATGAAAAAGCAAAGTCACCAAAAGTAAAAAAAAATCAATTCAAATCATTTCCTAAATGCTGTAAAATTAAAATGTCTTCACACAGCAGTAGTTGGAACTAGTATGGAAAGGAGGAGCTCTCATGGATTTGCATGCTACATCTGATTTTGTGTTTATTAGCCCAACGTTGACAGAGTTCAGCCTCCTCTAAAATCTCAGCAAATACACATTTGAGGTACACCACTACTTATGGGATGTCAGACTGGTTCCTTACATCATCACTTTAGCTTCCTCTATAAAGTCCTCCTCATACATTGCACCTTCTCGGATTGCTTTGATGGCCACTTTGTACTGTGCTCTCCATTTGCCAAGACGCACCACGCCAAAGAGACCGCTGCCAAGTTCTCTCATAAAAGTGAGCTCGGCTGGATTGATTTCCCATTTCTCTATAAGGATAAAAATAAGACAATGTTCAGAAAGTACAGAATTCTCCAGATCCCCGAGGTAAAGATGAGAGGATGCTTTTTTCAGAGATCTCATCAGCCATCACTCCAGACTCTGAGCTCCCACAACCGCTGTATTTTGGCACCCACTTGAGGATTCCCGTTTCTCATTCCGATAGCTTCCTGCCGAAAGGGCTTTTGAAAATATCCACCCAGCCCTGGACATTTTGCTCCTCTGTCTCTCTCAGTGGAGACACTTATGTAGTAGTTAATCCTCCCCCATCTCACATCTGTATCCCAATTTAGGCATTTTGGCTTATAATAAGTGTTCAGGCTTGGTTTGCAATAAAACCCATACAATTCTCCTCCAGCATCACATTTCAAATGAATTTATTCCCTTCTGGCCTGCTTTCTTCACTGTCCAGATTTCACAGACATAGTAAAAATAAAAAATATGATGGTAGAGACACCCCTGACTTTAATATTTCATTGTATTCCTCAGTTAACAAAGCCTCAGACAAAAAAGTTCCTTCCTACAAACACTTTATAAGTGTGTCGTTGAAGGCTGGAATCACTGGTTGCTGTGAGTTTTCCAGGCTGTATGGCCATGTCCCAGAAGCATTTTCTCTCCTGACACTTCACCCAGATCTATGAGGGCATCCTCAGAGGTTGAGACTGTTGGAAACAAGGCAAGTGAGGTTTATATTGTGGAATGTCCAGGGTGGAAGAAAGAACTCTTGTCAGCTTGATGCAAGTGTGAATGTTTCAACTGGCCACCTTGATAAGCATTTAATGGCCTTGCAGCTTCAAAGCCTGGCTGATTGCTGCCTGGGGGAATCCTTTGTTGGGAAGCGTTAGCTGGCCAGCTCAACTCTCCTTTTCTTCTCTTCTGTTTGGCTAGAAGAGTGTAATTTTAAAGACATTACAAGGGAGGCCTGGAGTAAAAGATTTTCGATGTGAGATTGCAGCCATGCAGCTGCAGTAAACAGTACACTAAAGTTTCAACTGGGGAAGAATGTGATTGTACTCTAGGCAGCCATGTAGCCGGGAGGGGGGGGGGCTTGAGGGCTTCAGCCCCCCCAAATTCTCAGGGTGGTCCGCGAGAAGGCCTTACTGGTACATTATGTTTATTCTGTTATGTTTATTCTGACTTTAGTCAGAATAAACACCTTGTCATGCCCAGCATTATTTTTTAAAAAAATTAATTATTACATTTGGCCCAGCCATAGGTTTTTAAACGCGTCGTGTTATTGTTAATGTTTATTGCTTATTTTTGCTTATGAGTTTATTTATTGTTTTGTATTATTGTTGTTATTGTTTATTGTTGTATTGTGGGCTCGGCCTCATGTAAGCCGCACCGAGTCCCTTGGGGAGATGGTAGCGGGGTACAAATAAAGTATTATTATTATTATTATTATTATTATTATTATTATTATATCATGATCTGATCACTATGCTCAATATATCCCATTTGCATGGGGGTATTGGGATAATGATTCAAAAGGTTTGCTAGGGTAGGTTCCCAGCCCCCCCCCCCCCCCCCCAAACAAAATCCTGGCTATGGGCCTGACTCTAGGTGATCCCAATGTAACTGTGTGTACTTAGACACAGCAGGCAAGGCAAACAGCTGCTTCCAGAATCACACAGTGAGCATTCGAGAAGAGCAAAACAGAAAGAAAGGGGGAAAACAGATGAGCCTGCCTCGCATGTTGAAAAAGCCTGACTGTAAAAAAATATATATATAAATATAGAGTCTGCTGAAACTTTGGACTTGAAAACTGTATCTAGTTTGTTCACAGCAGTCCTTTCAAGTTTTAAACCTTAATTTTAGATATACAGAATATACCCCCATCCCCCCCAAATGAAGTGCCAATTACCATAACTGAATCCCGCTGTGGTTGGTTTTGTCTTTGGGGTGACTGGATATCGTAGCCTTGTCACAAGACCTGAAGTTCATAGAAAAATGATATTGATAATAGTCAGCATCAG